TATATGTTCTAGAAGGTAAAGCTCGATTATGTATTCTTCAAGCTCGTCATGACTTTCCAACAGTAGGACATTTTGAGTACAATAAAACTTTAGAACTAATATCCAAGGACTTTTGGTGGCCGCAAATGTGGAAGGCAGTTAAAGATTTTGTATAATTTTGTGATGTTTGCTAAAGATCAAAAACTCCTTGTCATTGATCTTACGGACTTTTTTAGCCGTTATCCATTCCAAAACAACCATAGTCTTCTGTTTCTATGGATTTCATCACGGATCTTTTAATCTCAGGTTCTTATGACTCCATATTCATGATAGTAGATCGTTTTACTAAGATGGCACATTTAATACCATGTAAAAAATCTATCACAAGTGAAGAAACAGCTAAGTTTTTCATTGATAATATCTATCGCTATCATGAGTTGCCAAAGGATATTATATCAGATAAGTGGACTCAATTTATATCAAGATTCTGAAAAATCCTATTCAAGATTCTAAAAGTAGATATAAAACTTTCTTCAGCTTTTCATCTTCAAATTGATGGACAAACAGAACGGGTAAACCAAGTTCTCAAGTAGTATTTGAAATGTACCATCAACTATCATCAAGATGATTGGACAACTCTTTTACAATTAGAAAAGTTTGTATATAATAATTTGGTACATTCTTCCACTCAATAAACACCTTTCTTTGCGAATTATGGTTATCATCCACATCTTGATATTTTTAACTTTTCAAAAGTTGATAATCTTGCGGCAAAAGATTTAACAAATCGCTTGTCAGAGCTACATACAACAATAAAGATATAATTAAAGGAAGCTCAAGAACGACAAAAGACCAATATGGATGCCTATCGCAAGGAGCAACCACAATATAATATGGATGATAATATATGGTTACTTCGTTGTAATATCAAGACTACTTGTTCTTGTGATTAATTAGATTATTGTAAGCTGAGACCTTTTTCTATTTGTAAATAAATCAGTCATGTTGCCTATCGATTACATCTACCGGAGTATATGAAGATCCATCTTGTATTTCATGTCTCTTTTAGAGCCGTATAAGACAATAAAAATCTTGAAAAGAAGACAAATGCCACCTCTTCTTATAGAAGTGGATAATAACTAAGAGTTTGAGGTGGAAGAAGTCTTAGAGTCAAGGTGGCATTGAAAAAGGTTAGAATATCTTGTTCATTGGCGTGGACATGATATTAGTGAATGCACATGGCAGCTATCAAAGAATCTTGCAAATGCAGCAAAGAAAGTTGAAGACTTTCATCAACAACATCCATCAAAATCAAGATGAAGAATAAAAAATCTTTGATGTAAAAAAAACAAGATCAAAGGAAAATAACATTCTATCTTCTATCTTTCGTTGTAGCATAGAAATGGAGATACATCTCAAATGTATATATCTTTTATTTGAAGGAAGTTATGAAGGCCTCAACAATGACCAAATAACAGGGTGGTCTTCTCGTCCTGGTATAGGACACTATAGATGGTTGAGAGGACCTATCAACCATCTTCGAAGATAGCAAAGATCAAAGTATGTAGTAAATATAATTTGTCACATCTTGGACTTCCTCAATATATGAAGACCGCTCCTTGTAGAACTCGTCCCTAGAAGGAGGAGTAATGTCATGGACATATATATTTATTTCAATAGTTACTTATATGATTAAGTAGAAGTAGGTAAATATAGAATAATTTCATAAAGTCTTCTAGAAAAGCTTCTTAGAAGCTTGATAGACATGGTTTTGACTTTAAATGTGTTTGTAGATTAGAAACTTGGCCAAAAAGCTAACCATGTATTGGTAATTTGTGGAATAAGCTAACTACGTGGCACATACATAGATAACTTATCTTATAAGTTAAGACATGTGGCTAGCAAAGTCAACACATGTTAGAAGTCCTATAGGATATTGCCCTATAGCTCTTAATTAGATAGTATATATGGAGGAAAGAGTGAAGCCTTCTTCACTCTTGTCAACGCCTTTCTAGTCTTAGTCTTATTTCAAGACTTTCTAATCTTTCTTCTTTTTGGCAATAGCCATTCTAGTTAATATTATATCACCTTTTGAGAGACTTTCTAGTTCTCTTCAGTGATAGAAGAGTGTATTGAGGATTCTCTTTCTTCAAAATTCATGTCCTTGACAGGAGAATATGATACAATTTGTATTGCAACCAACAAGATCCGTATTTTGTGACAAGAAAATCAATCAATAATGTTGTATGCTTCACAGTTTCAACAACTTGCAACTGATATCAAGTGGGATGATGTTACATTTTTTAGCCAATTTCTCTATGGATTAGAATATGAGGTAAAAAAATTAATGCTCAACTTACCTGATCCTCAAACATTGAGCTAAGTAATTGACTTTGTTGTGAAGTGAGACAATTGTCTTTTTGAATTTTGATCTGAGAACCATACAAGTGAACCTCGAGGTTACTATAATTCAATGGCAACACCAACATCTCTTCAACACATACATTTGGAAGTAGAGGATATGCAAAATGATTCAGAACGTTTCAAATCTCTTATTGAGCAAGAAAAGACTCGTCGTTGTTAGGAAGGATTGTGCTTGTACTGTGGAGAATCTAAGCACACTACTCAACATTGCCCAAAGAAGCAATGCAACCATAAAATGAGGAGTACGGCGATCAAAGAAGATAGCATGTTAAAAAATAAATTTGTCCACCTATAATAGGGATTGTGCGGCTGGAACCTTGTACAACACCTAATGAAGGTCCCATTCTTTCCTTAGGACCCTCTCTATGTTTTACGATAAATATTATTCTAGGACCTAAACATCACAAAGCCTCTGCTTTGCTAGATTTAAGAGCCTCAACATATTTCTTAGATGAAGAATTTGCTAAAAAATATAACATACTTTTAGTGAAGAAAACTAAACCTGTACATGTAGAAGTCATAGATGGTCGTCCATTATCTTCAAGAGATGTTACTCATGAAACCCTTCCTATAGAAGTAGCAAGTAATGGTCATAGTAGCTTTATAATATTTAATATCATTAGATCTCCTTCTAATCTAGTCATTTTAGGTTTATCATAGCTAAAAAAATATAATCCTAACATAGATTGGACTTCTCGTAGTCTTGACTTTTCTGAAAGTATAACTAAGAACGTAGTTAATCAAGTAGAAAGTCATAAGTCTAGTACAATTAAATCTATATTTGTAGGTGCAAGAGCTTTCTTCCATGCTGCAAAAGAAGGATCACCTTGTGTCATTTATGCCACACCTGTTTCTACTGGTGGAAAGACTTCAAGTGGCATTCCAAGCCAATATCAAGATTTTTAAGATATATTTGAGAAGAAAAATGTAGATACTCTTTCGGAACATTGTTCCTATGACTGCTCAATTGACCTTCAAGAAGGAGCACAATCGCCATTTGGATGAATCTACAATTTATTACAAAATGAATTAGCTGAGCTCAAGGAATATATTGAAGAAAATCTGGCCAAGAACTTCATATACTATTCCAAATCTTGAGCAAGAGCTCCAATTTTATTTGTGAAGAAAAAAGATGAATCATTGCGGATATGTATCGATTATCAAGGACTCAACAAAGCACCATCAAGAGCAGGTACCCGCTACCTTTGATATCTGGACTCCTTGATCAGTTGAATCAAGCTAAGATCTATACAAAAATAGATCTACAATGAACATACAATCTAGTACACATCAAAGAAGAAGATGAATAGAAGACTATGTTTTGAATAAGGTATGGACAATTTGAATACAACGTCATGCCTTTTGGACTTACAAATATACCAACAACATTCCAATAACTAGTGAATGATGTCTTTCAGGAGTTTTTAGATGATTTTGTTGTCTGTTATATATTATTGGTTTATCTTTGTGGATAATTTTATTAGAAAATAAATTAAAAAAAAAAAAAAAAAAAAAAAATGTTATAGGTACAATCATGCTCTTCAAATAAATATTTGACTAATTTTAGAGATTGTTTCTAATTTTATAATATATATATGTATATATATATATATATATATATATATATAATATTTTTAATTTAAAAAAATGAAAAGATTTATATTGACATCAATGCAGTACTAAAGTTTCTTGGAGTTCATTACTTATTTTTTAAAATTTTCTTAAAAGAAAATTGTATTATTTTTATATTTAAAAATTCTTGTAGATTTTATTTCTCATAATTATTTATATGCTTTAGTGATCTATTACTCCTACTCCTAAATGATATGATTGAAATATAAAGAATAAATTTCTTAGAACTAAAAGATTGTAATTAAAATGAGATTCAAAGAGGATTTAGGATTATATTTGGATTAATGAGAAATATGGAATGCTCATAAACAAGCCTCTACCACAAACCACTTGAACTTCCCCATTAATGTTTTTGGTTCAATTATGTGTCTTGAATCATTGGATTATTTATAATTAAGACTCTTTATATTAGAAGAATACAAAATGAAGAAAAAAAGTACAATTCATTGGAAATATATTTCTCCTCTTTAATTTAAGTGGCTAAATAGAATTTAATTTAAAACTCGATTTCCAAAATATTAAAATTTTCAATAAAATAAGCCAAGATAAAATAAGTACCTCGACTTATTTGGCTAATATATCAATAAGATCATAAATAACAACTTTAGACAAGAAAAGATGTGACATGAATTCTCTCCTGGAAATTTGTATTTGACAAGTTCTGCAAGTACCAAAACCAGAGTATGTGGGAGTGGGAGACAAGTGTACTTTGCACTCTTATCAACAAATGCTCATCAAGTGCACTATAACCTACTGCAAGGACATCAATAACAATTTTTTGGGGAAAGTATTCACCATATCAAAGATGGGAATTTGCTACAGGCAATAGTAACAATTGAATATTTTCGAATTGTTTGAGAGTAGAAAATTCAGTGTGATGTTTATATAAAAACTTACTCAAAAGAACACAAACTGAGATGAGCTCATAGAAAATAACAAAGATTGTTGTTACAAAGCCTTCAAAATTGTAAAAGAAATAGTTGAAATGGAACAAAAATATGTCACAACGTTCACAAGAGAATAGTTTAATTATAACAAGATACATATTTCTACACCCAAACATTCATAATATGGGTTCGCTTTCCCCTCTCAAGATCCATCTCTCCTACCCTACCCCAACACGTAATTGACTTTCTAATGTGCTGTGAAAGGGGTACAGCAATTTCTATTATAAAACTACATCAAATCTGTGATGTACACAGGATGTAATGCAACTATCCTGCTCGGTGCTACCAGAAACATTCAACTACGATGCTGTTAACAGATCTCGAAAACTGATAAACGCGAGCAGGCACAAGTGTTCAGTGGGGATATGGAGCAGCACACACCTTGATCTTGGTGAGTGATGCATCACGACCAGTAGCGCATCAAAACAAAAAGGGTGCCAAGCTTGGAATGCAAACGACCATGGATAGTGACAATGGTTAATTTGTCGCCGTCAATCGGATCATGGCGAGCGCGCACTCGACATCATCAAAATCCAGCAACCAGATGGCCTGCCGCAAAGCTTGAAGGCTTGGACATTAGGATGCAGTCTTCGCGTCACTTGCTATCTGGTGCTTCAGTGCAAATAGCTAAACTCAAATTCAAATATGCAGACCCCATCCGAGAATGGGAGTTCGATGCGACGAGATTGACAGTCTCAGCTCAGAAATTCGGCCGCCTGATGTTTTGATGCAATGGTACACTATCTTCATGCAGAGAAGGAACTAAGCAATTCCTCAAGAAAAATTGGGAAGAAGATCAACGATAGTATGAAACAGGGAGACTCATGGTCCGTGCCTCCCTTCCTGCCGAACCTCTTCCCATTCTCGCCTTAGCATGGAGCTCGATGCTAATCCGTCCGAAGAACACCGAAAATGTAAACGTTGCCTGTTCTCTGTTGTAACTTGCAGGCAAATCAATGTGGAATCCGCCTTCTCTTGTGACATTCGCTCCCTGGGTATATCTCGGATTTTCCTCCGCAGAACTATACAAATCGAACAATATTCGAGTCTGTCCAGGAGAGTGCGGGACGTAGGCCTTCTGCACGCACTGGTTAACCTCCACAGTTTCACCCTTTGTGGCGAACTTGTCGAATCTATAGCGGCACCATCTCACTCCACCTGTGCCAACTCTCAGATACTCAATGGGATCCACCCCGTCCCTAAAGGGTAGGGTCACGCTAGTCCCATAAGTCTTCCTAAGAACTCGAGAGAAAACGGTGTCGGGATTGCGTGAGAGGGAAACCGCACCTTGGCAAACGGCGCTGCCAGGGTTTTGTGGGCAAACGATATATTGGACGGCGTTACCGTAACGCTCACGGATCCGACTCATGAGGTAAGGGGAAGCAGCGAACCCGCCTACAACGAACATAACCTTGACGTCTGACACTAGTCTGAGCTGCGCGGCAATCATCTCCAGAATCTCATCCACCACAGGATCAAAAATGGATTTCAGATCCTTTTCGGTGAGTTCAATCTCGCTGTAGCTCTCACGGGCTGGATAGCCTTGTCTGGTCTCGTGCTCCTTCCATTTATCGCGTAACCTGGAGTGAAGGTCGATCTCCATTGTTTGTGATCTTGATCCCATGTCATGGCCGAAGGAGCACTTGACTTCTCCCCACTCCTTGAGTAGTCGCGTCCTGTAGCTCGGCACATCATTTTCCAAAAACTCGTCGAGACATTCAATCTTCCCGGACAAAAACCGCATGAAGGATTCGTCAACATAAGTACCACCGCAAAAGCTCCCTGTGCTTGGAGTCACTTCTTCCACCTTGAACCTCTCGAATGATCTCGAAAGCAACCTTTGAACGACAATGTCCACCGTTCCGCCACCGGCGTCGACCACGAGCATTTTATCCATGGGTTCCAAGATCACATTCGCATGACTCTGGCGCAGCATTTGATGGCAGTGGAACGAAGCGGCCTCCGGCTCGAACTCAACTTGCACTGCCTCTTTGCCTCCAGCTTCAGCGGAAACGAGCTCCGCATCCACCATGCACTCCTTCATCTTCTGCTTGGCATTCTCGTCCCAGATCGACGGCACCGTCACACACCACTGTACTGAATCCCTGCAAAACAACTCATTCCCATCGTGCGTCTTGACCACCTGCAATGCATATTCACCAATTCTCCGCAGATAATCGACAATGACAGAGTGCACCGTGAGGGGTGGAGGCACACTGGCTGCCAAAGCGGGATCATTAACATCTCTACTTAGCAGCAGCTTGAATTTTGACAAGTACACTCCATTCGGACGGTTTCTCCTTTGGCTATCCAAATAATCCGATCGCGCGTTATGACCCCATGACACGCATTCCCATTCGCCATTCTCTGCCTGAATGTAGTACAATCCTGACAACGTCTTGCAGTACACCTTCTCTCCTTGTCTAGAAGGCCAGTCGAAGTAGACACTTATCTCTTCCGGTCCTGATGCTTGCGCATACGCGAACCCTGAGAATGTGGTACCAAAATCGAGCCCTATTATCCATCTGACGTTTGGTCTGGTTCGATTCATACTACGCAACGACCGTGGCTGATCCACTGGTTCTATTAAACCAGAATTGTGCCCAGGGATTGGGTCGGGCCATGGAGAACTTGAGCCGACAGGGTTGGGCTCCGGGTGGGGTGGAATGTAATGCCGGAAGGGAGGGTCGCTCTCGCCTTCTATCGTTTGCGGCTTAGAGCCACAGAAGAAAGAGAATAAATTTGACATGGCAGGACTTTGATTTGACAAAACCTTCTAGAAGTTCTACAAAAGAAAAAATTGTGGCTCGTGAAATCACTGGACATACACGATATCTAGTGCGGTGATGACGCAACACGATGCGGCGAAGAACAAAACGACATCATATTCACCTTAATCTCGCATTGATCAACTTCACAGGCTATCTCCGCCTTGCACCACATTCATACTACGGAAGGCTAAGAGTTGAGATTCAGTCTTTGACGCCGCTTCAACAAACCAATCCACTAAATGACGCCGCCTGCACACCAACGGTTGTGAACTGCTGAATGCCCCTACAATTTTCCCAATGTTCAACATAAATAGTCGGATCCGGAATGTTGCAACTCTATTTGCTGGAGGCACAGATTCCGCACCTGCTACACGCCATAGAATGAAAGTAATGAACGCAGAAATTTCTCATTGTACGTGGGATAAAACTGACACAGAAACCGCAGTCTCTCCTTTCATGCATAGTTCAGCTCGATTGTTTCGGTGTTCCAGGCGGTAGAACTTTTAGTCGGTCTTCCTACAAGTGCTAGCAAACTATAACGAAGAAACAGCCTCACATGGAATCGCCGAGGATCAGGGGAGAAGATATCGTCGGTAAGGATACTCTCAAATGCAGCGTTGAAGTTCTGAAGTGTAGGTATGCCACTTTGACTTATGCAGTCATCTAATTTTAAACCCCATCAATTTGAATGCAGGAAAATCATAAAAATAGTTATTCTTCCTCCTCTTCCACTTTGTTCGGTGGTGTTGGAAAAAAAACAAATTACAGTGCGAATTTCTTTGCACAACACACAACAATTTCCATTGATATAGGCAGGTGATAAGTTTTTCAATACCCCTAGACTAATTCTTAACCTCTGTAGTCCAAGTGGTGGTTATATATAGTCTATTGTCTACAAAGAGTTCTGACAATTCCCACTTGCACCTGATGTCAATGCCGAGCTGGCAAAAACGGCATCTCGTCCTTGACTTCGGTAGCAACTGTAAACGGGATCACGGAATGGTTTAGTACTCTACGGAACTCACTGGTTTCATACTTCTGCATAGTAAGATTTTAAAAACAGGAAAGATGTGCCCCTTCACTTTTGCAATGGTGAGAGTTCCACGACTGCACAATTTAATAGATTAACCTAGTGGATATGCTCACATGGGTCGGACAGGCTGGAGACCTCAGTCAGCGGGAGGAGACTTCGGGCCTCTTCTTTTTCTTTTTTTAATTTTGTTTAAATTTAGGTATCATTGTATATAAAATAAAGTAGGATACAACTCAATCTGGGTCCCATATACAGGTTGGCAGATGAATGAGGGTGGGGGCTAGGTGCCACCGAGTGGAGAATAGTACTCCTGAACAGAACACGTCCTGATAACACCAGGTGTACTGAAAGTTGGTTATACATTTTGTCTTTCTGGTTTCACCACATCTATCGATGGAGCTAAGAATATGGTTCCTATCCGCCATTCTGGCAAAGATTGTCTCCCCCCAAGCTAGGTGGCAAATAAGATGAGCATTGATGCGTTCTTGTGAGAACACTAATCGGCATCTGGCGCACCAGAGGTGCCATAAAATTGCTACTTGTAGCACATCTAAGGTTGGTAAAAGGGCCTCATATTGGGATGACATACCCTTGTGGCGTCTTGTATGCCTGGAGGTATATGTGAGTAGCTCTCTCCACGCTCGAATTGGAGGGCAATTCAATGTCTTCCAGACCAGATCGTACGCCGTCCAGACACTGAGGCAGTGCTCCAGGGTTTCATTGACCTCACGATTGCAACCAGAGCAAGTGGCTGGGAAATCCATTACCTCACACCAGCTGCCTGTAGTCAATCCTCCTGAATTAATCTGCCAAATGAAGGTTTGTACCTTGGCTGGTTTATACTTGTTCCATACCGCTGCAATGGATCTATCAATCTTCTCTTGTGTGAATTCAAGCCGTTGCTGTTTAACCCGCAGTTGCAAATTTTGTGGTTTGGCTGTTACGGCAATTTTAAACCCAGCTCGGGTTGAGTAGTTGAAAAAGGCTATGGTGTGAAGCAGAGCCGATGGGTTCCACACCAATTTTAGAGAGTCAAAGAATAAGTCACGCACCAGCCCAATAAACCAGGTATGGCCGAAGTGTTCATTTGATGGATTGATTGCAGTGGATTTGAGATCGCCTCTCATGGTGGTGACTCTTGTGCGGCGTAGCTTCAAACCTGTGATGTCCTGTTATGGTCTAGGGTGCCTAGAAAAGAAGTTGGAGCTGAGTTGTATGTATCTGGCTATCGTGTTGCCCGTGAAGTTGGTACAATTCTTGAAATTGTCCAATAATTGAGACTGAGGATACCCATGTGTGTTCAAGGAAGCTGGGGAATTGGGTCATGCTCCAATGCCTACGAATGGAATTCAAGAGGCAAAAACTTCTTACTTTTGTTTAGATGGTGCCAACTAAGGCAATGAATTCTTTAATGGTTTTTTTTAGTTTTGATGGACCTCACTCTATAAATCTTTGATTTGCATAATAGCCTTCCACATCCAAGTGTTCTCAAAGGAATAAGGTTCATTTCCTTTGCATTATATTATTGAGACCAAATAGTTTGGCATTCCAAAATAGGCATTGTCTTGCTATTGCTTCTACTATTAGTAGTTGTTGAAACTACAATCAATACCAAAGATGGAACTATATTTTTCAAATTATCCATCATATGTCTGATCTTAAGCCATAGACTATTAGAACAAAGAGTATAAAATAGATGTTTGGTAGCCATTTATTTCCTCTTTTAGGCTACAATGAATAGATACAATATTGAATTAAAAATTTCCATGGTATTGACTCTAATAATAAACCTTGTATCATAAACTTGGCATGTTATGAGTCATTGAATTGACTCACTTTGATAATTAGTATAAAAAATGTACTTATTGTGCTTAAAACACAAATTTTATGAATTAATACTAGAATTTTAGGAAAAAATAGAAAATAAGATTGTTAGTAGTGGACATGCAATCTAGGATAGAATTTAGTAAGAAAAAACTATAAAGACTATATTTTTCTAGTTAGCTAGTAGTAGAGGAATTACAAAGGAAGCAGACTTGGTGTCAAAAAAAGAAAATCTAGTAAGGTTTAATTATGATTGCTTTGAAGATTTTTTCCAAATTCAACAAATCCAAGCGGCAAAATGATTCTTCTAATTTATGGAAGCCTTTTAAATGCAATGGAGGCATCAAATGTATCATGTGGAGTGAAGAAAACAAGATTAGCATCATTTCCTTTAAAGTACAAGTAGAGAAATGAAATTCTCATTTTTTGAAGAATTTTATAAATATTACCTAAATTCTTATAAGTAAAAAATATTCATAAAAGTTGCAAAGGAGTATAGATTGATGCATGTGAGTAGTCAATCTTAGCATAAAAAGGTGTTTTAAACACAATAGTTAAATTAGATTTATCAAAAAATGTTTTTTTTTCCACTTACAAGAGCCATCAGCTTTGGTCACGAAATTAGCTGTTGAATAAAGGAAGGCCATAGATCTACATTAGGGATCTTAGAGATCAAGGGTGGAGATGTGGCCGCCCTTCCACAAGCCACCACTCAATTTTATAAGAGTGGTTTGGTTTTCCAAGCCTCTCTTTCTCTTTCTTTTGATGAGGGCGAAGCCATGCCAATGTGTCATCTCAACCCTAATCCTAATCTTATTTTTTTACTTCTTTTTTGATCTTAGATCTCATTGTGAACTTTAGGAACATATGGGCATTGGTTTTGTGTCATGGGTGGTGCTTGTTGTGGTTTAAAAGGCATCCCTTTGCAATTAGTGGTCACTAACCATTTCCATAGTCAAAAGGGTTTGAGGGGCCTCGGATTTTCCTCAATCAGTCTGTGGTTTTTTATGTTTTTTAAGTGAAGATTTTTCATCACATAGCTCTTTTTATTAGCTTTCCAACGAGTTAAGGCCTGCTCAATTTGGAGTTGAACCGAATTTTTGGTGAATTTTTGAGTGCAAAGAGGGCGGCTGCCTTGGGAGTTTCAATAATCCAACTTTGAAAAGACATTCCTTAGTGCCACTTAAAGGGATCATTTTGAAAATTTGGTAGTACAAGCACCTTTAAGCTAAACTTCCACTGGCACAAATTTCATTAAATTTGAAACAAATTTGAATTTTTAACGAATTTTTGAGTGAATGGGAATAGGTTGTAGTGGCAGGCCAATGATCCAACTTTGAAGAAGCATTGGTCGCAGCTCAGATATTAGATTACCAATAAAATTACAAATCAAAAGCGCCTTAAAGTTAAATTTCCAACACAACAAAAATCATTAGATTTGGAGCTAATTTGGATTTTTGGAAAATTTTGGAGTAAAAAGAGGGTGTTTCCCTCAATCCTTGGGCGTTGTCAAGGTACTTCTGCTTGTACCTCTCTTTATTTATTAATTCTTTTATTTTATTTTATTTTTTACAGTAACTTATAACTTCTACATTCACTTTTGGCTTTAATTTTTAACTTTTAATCTTCTTCTTTTTACTTTTATATTTTATTTTTAACCTTTATTTTATTTATACTTTTACTTTATTTTTATTTTTTAAACTTTAATTTTAACTTTTGACTTTTAATTTTTAACCCAACCTTTTAAAAAAATTACTATAGATTAAAGATAATAATTTAATTAATTACTTTTATCATCAGTTAATTAAGAAATAAAAATTTATATATTTTTTAAAAAATAATAAAATAATAAAATAATAAAAAGTAATGAAAAAGACCTAATAAAATAATAATAATAAAAATAATAATAATTAAATTAAATTATCTAATTAGAAATAGAAGAAAGAATTGTTTTGCATGATGTTAAAGAGTGAATTATCATTATGAATGTGAGTAATGTTAGAAGATTTTATTAATAACTTGGTGTTTTAAGAAGGAAAAGTAATAAGTGGATTAGAATTTAAATAATAGCTTTATTTTAAATTCATATAGTTAATTTACTTATTGTGAGTTAGAATAAACTTCCAATTAGTAGAGGTTTATTTTAGCTCATACATGTAGTGCTTGCATCTAAAGTTTAGAATCAAGTAGCTTGAATCTTCTAAGTTGCTATAAGACAATTAATGATTACTATGCATCCTTTGCTCTACAAATTTTGTTTCTAGCCTTCTTTGACTAAATATAATTTTCAAGTAGTAAATATATCTTATTTATTGAATGCAGTTGAGGAGTCTAACAAGTGGCCATGTATCATAGACATACATATTTATTATGATATTTACTTATATGATAATATAGAAGAAGGTAAAAATAGATTTATTTTATAATATTTTTTAGATAAGCTTTCTAAAAGCTTCATAGATGCTACTTTGAATTTACATATATTTATATTTGATTGATAAGATAGAAACTTAGTCAATAAGATAATCACATGTTGATAGCTTGTAAAACAAGCTAACTATACGGTATATATATATATATATATATATATATAGAAAACTTGTCTTATCAGTTACGATACATGTCTTGCAAAGTCAACACGTTTTGGAGGTCCTATAAATTATTTCCATGTAATTCCTAGTTAAGAGTATATATGGAAGCAAGAGTGAAGCCTTCTTCTATCTTATCAATGCTTTTCTAGTCATTAGTCTTATTTTAAGACTTTCTAATCTTCTAGTCTTTAGTAATAGCCATTTTAGT